TTATTGCCAGCTCTCAGCATACATATCAAAAGTTATAAGCTTTTTTTAACAACCCAGGGAAATGAGATGAGGGTGGATGATTTCCCACTGTGATTCATGGTGTCAGGCTGGGCTAATAGCAATAGGCAAGCTCCCTCTGACTGAGTAAATGAGGATTTTTATTACCAGCAGAGACACCTTGGGAGTTTCATCTAAGATTCCCTCTGGCTCGTGCATTTAACACATCTCACTCACAGTGAGCTGCAGAAAGCTAAACAACCACCCGAACAACAGCAGGAGCTGCTGATAAATCATTCTGTTAAGTGGGCTTTAAAACCCACTATTTTATTATTGCAGAAACAGGAAGCTTCCCTTTATGGAATTATTACTCTTATTATTTTAGGTATGGATGCTAGAAACTATCCTCCAGCGGTTTTCTCAGCACATCTCTTTGGGTTTATATTTTATGCCGTACTTTCTTTGCAGTTTTTAAACCCTTCTAGCAATCTGTACAGATTCTTGTACTATACTTCCCTAAACAAAGCTATTGAAACTGAAGGAGCCAAACAAAATAAACTTAAAAACAGACAGCACTCCTAGAATGTGCAAGAGGACTAGTGACTGGGGAGATTGCTCTTGTTTTTCTTTTTTTTCCTATAGGTGTCTCAACTTGAAATGGTGCTTAAGCAGGAAAGAGTCAAAGGCAGAATTGCCAGAAAGAGATTTTCATAATGACCCAGGATTGGCTGAGTTTTCAACTGGATGGAAAACTGCAAACATGGAAGAAGTAGAAGAAATAGGGGGTGTTTCTTTTTTCAATGTTTTCCCTGATCGGTACTGTCCTTTTGAATGGCTTATTTTTATTTCAGCTATAGCTGAATTACAAGTGTGTCTCCAGAAGCAGTCATCTGATTATGATCATAAATATGATGAAGCCATCCTAGAAAGGGATTACGCATTATTACAAGGGGAATAGTAATTTGAATTTCTTAGCACTACAGAACTTGACCATGCTTTAGGAATACTTAAAAATCCTATCTTCCCTATTTAGTTCAGGGTACTGACCTCTGCTTAGGTTTGCAGAAATTAAATCTTTTAAACTTTCAGTTCTACTGTCCTCCTGGTAGGTAGGGCTAGTCAGTAAGCTTAACTGATAACAATGGCTTTTTTTTAAATAAAGAAATTAATAATTGTGATACAAAGGACAATGTGCTTGATAATACGTGAGATTGGAAGAGAAAATTTCCTTTCCTTCCCTTCCCTTCCCTTCCCTTCCCTTCCCTTTCCTTTCCTCTCCCTTCTCTCCTCTCCTCTCTCTTTCCTTTCCTTCTTTCCTCAATCCCTACATGACCAACTAGCCAGATAATAAATGATGCTGAATGACAATCAGATTCAAAATAAGGATAAACTTGCTAAAAAAATTATTATTTTTTAGATAAACAACATTCAGATCATTGCCATGCCCTGTAGGGCAAGCATGGGTGAAAAGAGTATGAATGCTACTGTAAAAAGCTTGTATTTGGAGGAAGAAGTTCTTCTAGATAAGGTGACTGAAGCAACAAATACATAAGAACACCTCTGTTTCTATCTGTGGCACGTTCCATGGTAAATAATCAGTCAAATGATTGGTGAAATGTGAAAAGGAAAATGGAAGGGGGGGAGGCAGAAAGTTTGGAAGTAGGACAATACTACTCTTTCTTCCATCTGATGTTCAAGTTTCTTTTCCTGATTTAGGCCACCAGTCCTGCTGAGCAATCCCAAATCCTGTCTGGATGATTTAATTTTCTCCTTTCACTTTTTAATACTAGTTTTCTTCTTGTTGTTGAATGGCGAGCCTGTCTTCCCCTTCATCAAGGAGTTTATTCCTGGATCACAGCTATTGCCTTTGGTTTGGCTAACAGTCATGTCATACAGCTTTCCTCATACAACAGGAGGTCCAGGTTGAATGTGATCATTTCAGAGCAACCGTACCGACAGTTAATGGGCTTTTCCTCTCTCTCTCCTTTCTGTCTTTCCTGTGGCTGTGTAGTTCTTCTCATCACTTGCCCTGGACCAAGACACATACTGGTAGCAGCAGGGTGGCAGGAAAGCAACATACTTTTTATTTGAAATATTATTTGGTGTCCATGTGATGGATCTTAACTGAAGGCAGACATCAACACAAAGTCTATGCCACTCAACAGAAAAGATCTACTTTTACTTTTTGACATAACTCCTGACTCCTTGACAATTTATTTCCCAGGGGTGGAGAAGAGATAGGACGTAACGTTTACAGTCCTGTAAACACGATCATATTTTTGTACACTATGTGTTATCTGCTACCTTATTTTCTAGAAATTGTTCACTAAGTTTAATTTGTTGGAGGGTTATTTGGGTCGATAATTTTACATGTCAGCTATGCTCCTGATTAAAATTTTCAGGATGAAACCACACAATTCTCCGTGACAACAACATACATTCAGGAATGCACTCAGGGCACTTCAGCACGAGGATTTGTGCCAGTATGAAAGCAGGTCCAGACTGCGATGTCCCCAGGACATGAGTGGCTCTGAAGAGCTGAGCTGATTTATTTCCAGCTCAGCTGTCTTGTAGCTAAAATGGCTGCAAACTATTTTCCCACCGATGAGAACATTTGCTTTCCTGCTCTTCCTGATTCCAACATTTGGGTCCTGTGAGGTCTCACAGTTCCCTTTTAAGAGTTCAGAGAGATCCTAAAGCACTGGGTCAACTGGATTTCAAAGGTTCCTCCCTTCATTCCCCATTTGAGTGAAACTAGGGGAGAGTATTTTTGTTGCTACAGCAGTTTAGAGCACAAATTTTCTCCCTTTGTTTTTAGCATTTCAAGTCAGCAGAAGTGAATTGCTTCTCACATTTAGCACACACAATTAGCACACATCCTGTTTTGCTTTCATCCCTTTCTTTTAATACTGATTCTTTCCCAAAGTAAATACATAGTTGATCTACCCTTCAGAGACTATAGGACAGTGATGGCCACTCGGTTAGAAACCGAGTGGCCAAAACCTGGCCCTGTCCCCTCCCTGCAGGGCCACTCACTGCCTCCAGGGCCTGCTGCAGATCGCCCAGGCAGCCCAGCAGCGCCATGGCAGCCACATACTCTGCCCGTGCCCCACAGCATCAACTGTGCATGATGGGGCATGAGGCCAGATTCGTGTCTATGCAGCCTGGCTGCCATGTTCTTGGCTGCGCTGCTACTCATGGGCCACGCTCGGGGGTGACTCTCCTCCATGGGGGCTGCTGGTGAGGAGGGGGTCACAGGGGGAGGCGAGGCTGGGGCAATGGCACGTGTACCTACAGAGAGGGCTCCAAGTGCTGCCTCTGGCACACGTGCCATAGATTCGCTACCATTGCTATAGGACGAATGATATGATATAATACAAAGGGCCAATTAGATGATGGTGCCAGTGAGGTTCTGGAGGACAAATTCAATCAAATAAGCACAAGGAATGAAATTGAACCAGATTCATAAAAAATACTGAGCAATTTCAATTTAACTATATTTTTAATCCTTATAATACTATTTTATCAGCTTGTGAAAGGATATTTAAAGGAAAAAAACTGGCATTTTTGTTTAAAAGAGGCCCAACATCAAAACAGCAGCAGTTAATTCTATTGATTTCAGTAATGGCGGATAGTGCCTCTTATACTGTATACATCAGTTCCAACGATTTTAATGGAACATACTTGCCAAGAAATTTGAGTTGCAAGTAAATATCTTCTGCCTTTTCATGTACAGTTGCTGAAATGCAGGAACGGGCTATTGAAAAAAAATGTGCAATATTAAGAAATATTATTGGAAATTTCATGGTGAGATTTCACATGATATTGTGTGAAGTGAGGTTAAACAAGAACATATTGCATTGATCTCCAACTGTGCTTTTTTCTTGGGATTTGTGAACTTACCCTATAAATGATTCATACCGAACAGTGGTTAGATAATCCTACACTTTGACAGGCAAGACAATAATCTAGCAACTAGATAAAAATCAAAAGTGAATTTAAGATTCACAGAAATATTGTCATGTGCTGAAAAATGTGCAGCTTTATGAGAGATAAGGCAAAGCTTCAGAATGCATAACCACCTTGTCAGGACATATGAAAATGTCTCTTTCTAAGAGGGGGTGATGGAGGTGGCCTTTGATGAAGGTGATCTGAAAGTGTGATGCATAATTTAGAGTGATTCTTATAGAATCCCTGCAGCTGCAATCCCATGGTGAAGTGGTAAGGGAGTATTAGGTCCATAACGAGATTTCAGTCTACAGCTGGTAAAGTGAAATGAAGGGAAAGTGAAACCACAGCATATGTTATGTGAAAACAGTGTGTAGCACTGCTGAGTGGAGAAAGCAGCATGAAACTGACAGTTGCTAGCATGAGAGAGAAGGCTGTATACATACTATAGGTCAAGCAGATCGATACGAAAACTAAGCAGGCATGGAGGTCCAAGAAGGTAAAGACTGGTAGCAATGGAAATTATGGAAGGTCAGCTTCAAAAGAGAAGTCAACAGAGTTCCAGATAGTTATACCTTGTTCAACAAACTTTCTCAAAAGGGAAATGGATGGAAAGGAAAAGGAACTCAAGGAGGACACTAAGGATTTCCCACATTATATCCCAATACTTACAATGGAGAGTGAGGTACCCTCTGCTGATCAGACACATACACAAATATTAAATATTAAAATGTGGGGTCTTTGGTGTGCTTTGAGCTTGATTGTTTTCTTGCAAACATTTCAGTACCCCACCTAGGTAACATCATCACTAATGCAATAGAACATCAAACCGGAGAATCTTTTCTCCATGTATTCCACAGATAGCGCATTGCATGCTGACATACCCAGAGCTGATTTTCCAACTTCCAGCGTCCAAATGAGAGGATTCCAGTGGCTGTTCATACAATTTGCATAGGTTTGCCAAAACAAGGGGACTTGAGTAGCTGTCTGGAATACATGTGCCTTGGGGGACGCAAAATATAGGTTGCACGTATACTAATTTTGTGAGTTCTTACCTGTATACTCAAGAGGACAAATGCACTCATACTTCCCTATGAGGTTCAAACAAGTGGCACCATTCAGGCAAGGTTCAGAAACACATTCATTCACCTCCCGGTCACAGTGCTTTCCTTGGTAACCTGGGACACAATAGCAGGAATATCCCCCGATCTTGTCTCTGCACACAGCTCCATTGAGGCAAGGAGTGGAAAGGCATTCGTCAATGTCAGTTTCACAGTGTACACCTGTGAATCCTTCAGCACAGGAACAGGTGGGACCACTAGGTGCATCCTGGCAAGTGCCTCCATGCCTACAGAAGTATGAGTCACACAAGCTAGTGGCAGTTTCACAAACAATGCCAGTGTACCCCATGGGACAATCACAAGTAAAGTCAAGGTTTCCAGGAACACTTGCACAAGTAGCATTGTGAAGGCAAGGGAGAGAAGAGCAAGGATCTTTAATACAGTCTTCAGCAGAAATGTCCACTGATGTGTCCAGACAGTGGCAACTAGTGGCTGTGGCATCAGCGTGGCACTCAGACTCCTTTTGGCAAGAATTGGACAGGCACTTGGGGCCATCATTCATGCAAAGTGATTCTAAAAATGATAGAAACACAAAAGAAAAAATAATATACAACTTTCAGCAAATCAGCAAGTGAGCTATGCAAGAAAAACTTGCAACCCCCTTTTCTAGTTTAATAGGGACTCTTGTCCAGGGCTTAAAAATGCATATCTATCCCATAATCAGCATTACAAGCCAATATTGGGACTAACATATCTTATAGTTCTATATACATAATTATTTTACAATTATTTATTTTGCCATACTTATTCTGAGGTAAACTGTTTTTCTTCCAAATGAGTAGGCACTCTCATTTCTACTTCTACTGTTATAGGGATAATTCACAAACCTTTAAAGTGACTCTCCCAAAAATAAATAAAAAATTGGTTAACTTTTGTAGTTGGCACAAGGATTCATTTTGATTCACACCCATTTTCCTCCCCCATGCCTTCCCCCCACTAATTCCTTTTCCTTTGTAAAATACTCTGTCTGTACTCAGTCTGGATTTCAAGACAGTAGAAGATCATGCATCTTGCTCCTGTTCTGCAGAACAGTAAGCATAATGCTTGATCTATTTACACATGAAAATAATATTTCATACACCTACTATAATTTGTTGAAGGGTAGGAAGTATCAGGCAAACTTTCTATAGGGTGACTTTAAACATAAATAAAATAAAATGTAATATATGAGTGTGTGCGTGTGTGTTAAAAAAACCTACTGTATCAATCATTTAAAATATAAATACAGAGTGTTGTGGAGAGATCTAGATAGACCATAGCTTGGAGAACCATCAAGTATTGCAAAGTAAGAAGTTGATTTTTCTAGTTTTTAAAGGTGCTGCTGTTTTATACAGCTGCAAAACTCTCTCTCTTCCTCTCCCTCCCTCTCTTTCTCTCTCCCCCACAATTTTTTTTCCAACCCGTTCTTGGAAAAATATTTTATGTACCAGCCATCCAAATCATTACTTGGAAAGCTGCAAGTGTTACATCTCAAAAAAGAATAAAGCCTAAAAAGGAAGTTATGTCTTCACTGCAGTACTTTCTTATATGGCACTAATAAATTATGAGATTAAAAAAATATATAGGGGAAGATGCTGGCGACAGGTTATAAAAGTGAACATCTCTCCCTAGGTTGTTTTTAGCCTTTCCACTATAAAGGTTTTGAGAACAAGATTTGAAAAAAAAAAACAACACAACAATTCCAACCATATCAGTTCCTGATCTAATAAACAAAAATCGAGCTCCAGTCAGTTGGTCATTTATATATTGCATGAGCCTTAGTACAGCATTGAATCTCCTATGCCTTAGAATGTAAACTGTGTTCTCTTGTCTTTAAATATATATATTAAATATACTGAAAAGGCACGTGTGACCTAGTCCGAAATATATGAACGTTCATTTTTGGAGAATGTAGGGAATTCTTTTGTAAGCAGACATAATTTCCTTCTTTACAGGGCTCAGTTGGCATATGTATCTCCCTGAAAAGGGGAGCATAGATAACTTCCCTGTGTCTGGCCTTTTCACACAGGAAAGCGAGTATCTAATTCCATGGGAACTACCTTTCCTGTATATCCTGACCTGTTTTGTGTGTAACCCTTGCAAGGGGGTAAAAAGCATGCTGTGTACAGGCACAAGTGCTTCCTCATGCTTGAGCTACAAACATCTGTTCTTGAAATAAGAATATTGTCCCAATTAACACTGTCAGGAGGGAGTAAAGAGAGTGTGAGAGAAAGGATGGGGTGTAGGTTAAAGCCTGCATTGATGACAGGAGCTGGGTCTTAGCAGCTTCAGATATAGAATTAGAACCACACAAATTCTCTTCTGCTCTCCACCAATTAAGATCACTTAGCAGTGACCTGCTCTGACAAAAAAAAATTTTTTTTAGAAAAATTTAACTTCTAAAAATATTAAAATAAACTGCTGATCACTCTAAATTTAGACTGACTGATACATTAAGTAATGCTCGGAGTCTATTTAAAAGACATTACAGCACTAACCTAATTACTCAAATAATTAGTGCCAAACATTTTACCCCATCGTTAAAGCCTTTTGATGTAACTGAGAAGCTTGGCTTAGAAAATGGAATATATTACAGTTGAAGTAATGATGAGTTTTCCCAGGAAGATTTTGTTCACATTAAAGACTGCCATCCACTGGCTAGTATTAGTATTAATCAAGATATAGCAGAAATTCTTTTTTAAAAAATCCCACAAAAACATTGACATCTGATATTATAACACAATTAGTATAAAACAGGAAGCCTGATACTATGGAAAAGTGACTTTCCTTCAGAGTTGTTGGGAAAGTCTGTACAGTTGCTGTTAAATTGTAATTGTTAATATGATTGAAGGGAGGAAATTATTAAATACATGGGATGCAATCACATAAACGGAAATTAATCAAGATAATATTTTTAATTAAATGAAATGCATTTTTTTTTCTCCTGTCTCCATTTTTTGGAATGTGATCAATGTACGCCATTTCAACACCATTCCGACACAAGGCCTAAGAAACATTGTACGTCCTTTGCTCCCTTGAGAAGTTTACATTACTGGCAAACGATAGAAGCAAACAGAAGTGATCAATCAGCAGAAAAGTGAGTGGACTCACTGTGGCACTGGGTGCTCTACTGTGAGACAGGAAGGGAGGAAGGAAGGAAGGAAGAAAGGAAAGAAAGAAAGAAAGAAAGAAAGAAAGAAAGAAAGAGGAAAGAAAGAAGGAAGGAAGGAAGGAAGGAAGGAAGGAAGGAAGGAAGGAAGGAAGGAAGGAAGGGATTCCATGGACATTTCCATGTAACCATCTCTTCCTGGTTACATGTACCTGTCCCATCAGGTCTAGCAGAAAAGGAAAGTTACAGTCCCATCTATTAAGGAATGTCATCTGATGGGACCCAGAGGAGAGCTTTTTCTGCCATGGGACTTGACCCTTAAAATACCATTCCCCTGGAGCAGGGGTGCCAAACTGCTGGCCTGTGGACCTGATGCATCATAGCAAAACCATGCCCATCCCAGCTCCGGCAATGGAGAAAAAGTTGTGATATGTCGTGACACGTCATGTGGCGTGACGAGTTTGACACTCCTGCCCTAGAGGTTAGATTGACCCCAACCCTACTTGCCTTTTAAAAGGCTCTATCAATAGTTGTGTTAATGTGCCTTGGCATCCAGTGACAGTTCAGGACCTGACAGATGGTTATACTAATTGATCCATGATTTTCACTTGCCCAGTGGTGGAATTCAAATATGTGAGCAACCGGTTCTCTGTGCGGATGCCACTTCCGGAAGCCCTTTCTGGGCCTGAGCAACAAAAAATTAGCTATCGGTTCTGCTGAAGTGGTGCGAACCGGCTAAATCCCACCACTGCACTTGCCTGTCTTTTATGTTTTTTGGTTTAAATTTTGAGTTTTAAAGGGGATTTACTTATTGATTTTGGTGTTTTGCTTACTGGTTATATTATTTGCTTGTTTTAATAATGGGAGTCACCTACAGTAATAAAAGTGAGATGGGCGGTTACACAAACTGAATATGTAAGAAATGAAATCTATTTCTCTCGAGGAACTGGGTTCAATTTAAAGACAACTTTAGTTTTTGGTAATTTTTTTCTAGATCAAGAATGTGCTTTGTTGGCTCAAGGCTGCATCAGACATGTGTGTTGTATTGAGGTCTGCATCCTTAAGGTTACTCAGGGTATTCAGAAAATGACTTGGCATAGTTAGTGGGTTTTTTCTTTTAAACGTGAAATGAACTCTTTAAATCTCTGCAAGTTAATGTTCTTCTTGTATTCTAATCTCTCTATGGACTCATGGAGCAATAAAAGGGATATGTTTTTTACACCCCTTTCCTAGATCATTGAATGGTCTCTCCCTTTGGCAGAATGCACCAGCTTGTGAATCTTTCTAGCTATTGGAGAATTTAGACCTACAGGGAACTGAAACCATAGAAAGGGATATTTTTTTAATAACAGAGCAGGGATATAAAAGTAATCTATTATGGATTATTTTCGAGGGAAATGGTATGGCAAACCAAAAAGAATCCATCATATTATGCATAAAAATGTAATATTATAGTTTAGTTATTAGGGAAAGAGACACATAAAGTGTTAAGGGATTTTACATATGAAAAGAAATTGCAGCGTTCCTACTTTTTTTTTTTTCAATTCACAAGTTATATTAGTATTTACATTTATTGCTGAATATAGGTTTGTATGCAATGTCAGCCTTCCATTTTGGCTTTATCTTCCAGACCCAGATATCTTAAGAGTGGCACCCCACAATACAATAATAGTTGCCATTTCCTTCATGCAAATCATATTTCCAGAAAGATCATTACAGTGGTCACAATACAGTAAAGTACAATACAGAACAACACAGTGGCCAGTATTGTGTATCAGCTTGACCTAGTGCAAGAATTCTCAATGTGGCACCTAAGAGTGCCAATGTAGTCACGGACACCTCCTTTGTCACCTCCTGGATTTCAGATATGTGTGATTTGTCTACATTAAAACCTAATTTAATTTAAGAACTGTTAAGCTGCAATGCTGCAAAACAAGGATTTTCAGCTTCCAGCATAATTGTTCTGTTCAAGAGTGGCCCTGGGTCTCAAATGGCTTCCATTCCCTCTTTTAGAAAATAAAAATGATGGGTGGCTACTACTTAGTCTCTGTTTGGATATGGATCTGCTTTTCTGAAAAATAAAAAAGCAACCGAGAATAATAAGGAATGTTTTGCAGGATAGTAGGCTAGAGTGGTGTGTGTAGCAAGTAGCATTCGTATAATTCCACATTTTGTAACTGGCTAGAAATATCACAGCCATGAATGTGCCCCTTACTATAGGCAAAGAAGTAGTAGTTGCAGAAAACTTATTTTCTTCCTTCCTGCCAGATGGGACTCTCTGCTTTTACTGACTTTTGCCTTAGAAGAGCAAAACCTGTTGACAATTATCCAAGAAAGAAAAGCACTAAGAAAAGTTCCAGCACCCCACGTTGATATAAATGTCATCTTAGACTTGCCTTCTTAAAAGTGCCCTTTCTTCCTTTCT